AAACATCAGCCTGCAATGCAATGCTGCGGCTAGTAAAGCAACCAAACGCTGGCTTGCATCCATAGATGCTTCTCAAGCAAATTCCAGGACGTCATTCTCCCCTTGTACTCGGCCTTGGTGAGGCCACAGCTGGAGTACTGCATCCAGTTTTGGGTCCCACAATTCAAAAAGGATGTGGAGAAGCTTGAGAGAGTCCAGAGAAGAGCCACGTGCATGATCAGAGGTCAGGAAAACAGACCTTACGACGACAGGCTGAGAGCTATGGGGCTCTTTAGCCTGGAAAAAGCGCAGGCTCAGGGGTGATCTGATGGCCACCTATAAGTTTATCAGGGATGACCATCAGTATCTGGGGGAACGTTTGTTCACCAGAGCGCCCCAAGGGATGACGAGGTTGAACGGTTTTAAACTACTGCAAGACCGTTTCAGGCTGGACATAAGGAAGAATTTCTTCACTGTCCGAGCCCCCAAGGTCTGGAATAGCCTGCCATCGAAGGTGGTTCAAGCACCTACGTTGAACACCTTCAAGAGTAAATTGGATGCTTATCTTGCTGGGATCCTATGACCTCAGCTGAGTTCCTGCCCCTTGGGCAGGGGGCTGGACTCAATGATCTTCTGAGGTCCCTTCCAGCCCAAATGTGTATGAAATCTATGAAATGTCAGGCTTTGAGGAAGGACTTTTATCCAGGTTTTCCTCATCTTTTAAAGGTATACTTTAACCACCAGCCTTCTGGATAAAAACAGGTTGACCCCAAAACACGTCCCCCTCTTAGCTAGCTCTAATACTGTATAAATCTAGCCTACGAATAAGTATGCACTGGTAATGGATTCCCCCCCTTTTTAATGTTGAAAAAATAATTTGGCATTGGGTGAAATTCAAAACTACTATTCAGCTCTTTGGACTTAGCTTACATCTATAAGAAACATGACCTGGGTCCTTTAGGTTTAGGATGTAAAAAATTTCCACTTAACTAAGTCCATGGGATCAAGAAAGGACTGAGCTTCCATGAATTCATATAGATGCGAATGGGCAGGCTGATAAGTGGGGGAAATGAGAACCAGGGCCTTCAGCAAAGGTGTTTGGTACAAGAAGCCCACCAGATCTTCATACTTGAAAAGGGACAGACTGAACCTGGGCTGGCAAAGCCAGGTAGGTGCAGTTAGTGGAGACAGATGGTTCACAGCTTTGAAGGAAAGAAAAAATGCCCCAAAGTGTGACCACAAACTTTCATGTTTATTGAGAAAGAGCTGACATTTGTGCCAGACAGGAACCTGAACCACATTATAGATGTGTTACAGCTATAGGCAAGTACATACTTTCATGCATACTTTAGATCTGAATAGAGATGGCCCACAGTCACTACCTCAACAGCAGAGGTTACCAACTTGTGCCTGGAAAAAAGGGAAGACTGAACCCTAGGATAGGAGCTAGACATGGCAGACCATCATCTTCAACCCCAAATAGGCATGGCATTGCCTCCAGGTCACAGGAGCAGCTCAACTCCCCAGAAGAGGCCAAGTCTCATGGGGCTCAGATTTCTGCAGCTGCCCACCTTCAGGACACAACTGCTAGACACACCTTAACCAAGCCTCCCTCTTGAGAAAAGAATCAGCCCAACAGTAAGGCACAGACTGCTTAGCAAATACCAACAGCCATACTCCACTATGAAATGGGGGTTGGGAAATTCCATCACGAAAGATTTACACAAAATCAAAAGTTTCCCTATCTCTTACCAGAAGGGATAGAACAGGAAACTGGATGTAGGGAGTCAGATCCAAAAACGGGTTGCAGGGAATCACCATGGCGAGAGAGAAAATGAAGCTACAGTACAAGAGTGTAAGCAAGGGGTGATAGTCTTTCACATGCTTTCTCTCACCTCCCCAACAAGTTTCTTGCCTTGCTCTTCTCCCTCCACCACAGACACCATAATGCCTCCAGGAATGAAGAGCCCCACAACCCAAGTGAGAGATGTTCCTAGTCACGTACTTCAGCAGCTCATCCAGGCATTCCCAGGCCTTGGCCACCTTTTCCCAGCTTTGGCTTAGGAGCCCCTCAGGCAGCTCCTGGAGGGATAGTACTCTGGAGAAAGTAGCCTGGAGTTCCCACAGGTGCTGGCAGCCCTGCTGGACCTGGTTCTGCATACTGGTTAGCAGCCCTTGGACACCAGGCTTTGGCAGGCATCCTGCACGTGCTGGAGGAAAGTCTGGGCAGTGGACAGAGCCTGGGATCCCATCTCCTGCAGGGAGAGATGGAGGCAGAGTGAGCAGAGTCTATGGAACATCCTCTATGGGCAAGATATGCCCCAGACCACAGCCAGGCTGCTTCAGAGCAGGGGCACAGCCTTACCTCAAGCTGTAGGGTGTT